TAGAATCCGATGAGGACGCACGCGTCTTGTCGGGCTCGGGTTGCAGTACAGATTCCTAGAAAGTGCAGTCGAAGCAATCTGTGAGCCAACATGATAACGACCAAGGGGTAGAACCACCCATCGTAGAGTCAACGGTGCCAGATATGTGCGGGATGCGAACAGGACATAGCGAAGTCACAAGGCCATTGCTATGTACATACCAAGATTGTATGGAGGCCCTCCTTCAAGAGAAACGGGTTAGAGTGGCTCTTTCCCCCCATTCTTGGCGCCAAGCGAGAGGACAACGAAGTCGGAACGCAGGCTGATCCAGCCGTTCAGCCTATACCATGATGATCGTGATGTCCAGCTCAGTTGATGACAGCAGACAGCGGTTCATGTTCTCTGCCGGAAATGATGGTCTATGGTCCTAGGTTCGAGCTGTCGACGCGAGGCAAGGTCCAAGGATTTGGAATTGTGAGTCACGACTCAGCTATCAAGAACCAAAAGTCGCTCGGACATATAGGGTGGCGCGAACACGCTGTCGTATTCTAGGGCCTACGTATGAGGGCGTGTCGTTATCTTTGAGGATGGAATATGCTGTCGCTGTCGTCCGGTTCTCGTTCTGATTACGAGTTGCCGATGCTTGGGATCTGTGAGTCAGTTGGAGACGAGGTTGAGACCATATGCATGCTAGAAGCACTGTGAAACAGTTACGCATCACCGTCCTGCCAGCGGCATGGGATGTTATGTCTTTTATAAGACGGGATTTATTCGTTGAAGAGGTAGAAAGTTTAGATGATGGTTCCGAGAAGGGATGACTCGGCTGACTCTCGGCTGACGCGCTGACGACTGATTACGGTCATTGCCGAAAATCGCGTTTGGCGTGTCGCCGACGCGAAAACCTAACTTACGAGTCATGTCAAGGACTGCGAGGATGCAGCGGCAAGCGCAGCTCGTGAGCCCACGTGGACACATTCAGAAGATACACGCTCCGATATATTCCATATAATGAGTCTCGTGGGTAGGCAGAAAGGAGTCCGTCGGTTAGACTCGTGCGTTGGTTTTCTGCCTCTTGGGACGGGACGGTCTAAGCCAGCGTACTGGCTATCAGCTCAGGCCGCTGAGAACAAAAAGCTCTGTCGGAGCCGCCGACAGAGTCGCATCCGAGCTCCGCCGGAGAGATTGAGATGTGTCTACACGCTGCACTCAGGTGGGTTGTCTGGAGCGACGAGTGTTGTCAGTGTACAGGCGCGGGGGCATGAAGCACGGACGGACAATACGCACCCGTGACCCGAGTCCGTCCAAGCCCGTCCATCCACAAGCCCAGACCACTCCTGTTTTCTCGGAGCATCATCCTGCTAAAAGAATCGATGGCCATGACGTGAGTACGGTCGATATCTAGCGAGATTCACAAATATAGACCTCCGCGGGCATTGGCAGTGGTGTTAACTTCGGTGAGAAAGTAGAAGGCGGGAAAGTTAGAGAAGCCTGGACTCTTTTGTTAGCAGAGTGAGTAGTCTCCATGGCGACTTTAACCCATTGCCGCAAGAGAAAGAAGAGAAAAAGGCAGGTCAAGCTTGCAGTACTTTGTTGAATGTCATTCTTCTCACTGCAAAGGGACCTTCATTTGCCTCACCTTTGGCGACGTCCAGGGCTGCGTGGGCCCTATGATCGAAGAGCAGCTGGCAGACTTTCGTTGCGTGCGCTGCCACGATTATGCTGGCACAGCACCAACGGTATGGCCGTCATGTTGAATGCTGATAGCATCTGACAGTTTCTGTCAACAGTACCGTGTCAATCGGGCGATAAACCGCATCCGTGAGCCGGAAGCAGCCATCCCGAGGGTGGCTTTTCTCTCCATGGTCTATGACGATCCTGGGACGGATATCGTGCCAAATATACTGGAACAATGCATCAAGGGTCTGTCGCGTTACCAAGAAGAAAAGGTCTGGTGCCAGCTCGTTCCAACATGCTTGGTTAGCCATGATGATGTTAACCCTGATATGCCGTTTTCCAGCACTTCATCGTCCGCGTCCCCTTGCGATACCAAGGCATTACCGCGCAGGGGCGGACAAAACGTGCACGCGACTTGGACAAGTGGCTCTAGCAACGGAACGAGGACACGCACTTCCTTGCAATGGTGTGCTCGCATGCTGATGCGAGACTGGATTTGTCACGGGTATGGACCACCCAATACATGGCCTGCAGGCATGGGCCCTGCCCGACGTGCGTGAATGCCGTTGTCAATCTCTTCGCATGTGCTCATGGACCTGTAACAGCTGCTCAGGTGTTGGGTCGGTCCAGACATGTGCGACGGGCCGCTTCAGGATCCGAGAGTGCTGCGCCGTCGAGGGTTGATAACTGTACTGTGCGGGCCATCCATGACCAACCTCGAACAAGGGATGGTCGAGTGGTGAGCCCCTTCGCCCAAGCTATCGCACCACTCCGGAGGCTCACGATAGGTACAATAGCCGTCAGTTTGATTACATTGTTGGCTTCGGTCGCGGGTTGCTCCTTCCGGTCACTGTGGCGGCGCCTCTTTGCACCTTCGTCACGCTTATGACCACGACGAAGGACACCGCATGGCATGCGGCGCTGAAGGCCTTCACCAAGCTTCCTGGCGGCGTCACATTGGTGGTCGTGGAGTGCGACGGCGATCGTGTAGTGAGCCGCCAGCTTTCAGAGTCGGAACATCCAACGCAGCCTTGGGGGCTGAGCCTGGCGTGTCCGGGTTGCCTTTCTTTCGGGTACCTCTTGGCCATGCCCCACAGGGATGGAAATGCAGCAGCCCGCCGCAGTCGCTTCCGCTTTAAGTGTTTCAAGTGCGCTTTCTACATTCCTGAGCTGTATATCGAGACTCCTCCCTTCGTTAGATGGGAGCACGACCTTCTGTTTTCCTACAAATACCCACTGACGAGGGAGCAGGAGACCTACCTGTCGAAACGGTTCGAAGAATACCAGAATTCACAGGAAGGAGCGATGGTGTATGCCGGGTGGTTGAAAACTCAACGGGGCATGTTCTTCGAGGAGAGGGTGGGACGTGTGCGCGGGAAAGAGGAGGTGGGCACATATGATGATGGCGAGTTCAGTGAGTCTGACGGTGCATTTGGGGAGAAAGTGTCCGGTGTTCGGAGGTATTTCAATTAGAACATGGAGACAATTTTGGCAGGTCACATTGCCCTTCTTGTCTCTTTTACAGTTTTACTAGGCTCACTCAAGCGACCGAGTGTCGCGCGGATTGGCACCAGTCTCGCAGTAGCAGCTGTCAATGAATCTAGAAACTTGAAGAGATGCATTTCTCAACATGTTCGAGTCGACAGAGTTATCCAGAGGTGCACTGATTCGGAGTCGGAGTCGATTCGATCCTGTCCTAATCAATTAATCAACATTTAAGTGAACGAGACTGGGGATGATACTACTGTGTCAAATGAACATTCACAGAAAAGAAGACCATCTGACGACCTTGCCGCGCCCACGACCCTTATGTATATAAAAGGGCCTTGCACTCATCGCTACAAGCACAGCACGCAGGGAGCAGCCTACGTGAAGAACTGTGTTGATCTCGCTCACCTGCTGCCGGTCTCCCACGAAACTTGTTCCTGCAACTCAAAGCACAGACGATGAAAACGCACTTAAACCCTGGATTATTAGTCTACATCTATCGTGCACACCTCACGGCGCCTGGAACAAACCCATCAAGCTCTCCACAGCCGCCCTCGCCAGCGCCCTCAGCGGGCCCTCCTTCCTCGGCGGCGAGGACCCCGGGCCGACGCCACTGAGCTTTAGCGCGCCGACCCAGCCGTCGCCCTCCACGGCGGCCTCCGCCTCGTCGAAGCCAATGCCCGCCGCGAGCGCCGCAGCACGCACGCCGTCGTCCGCGCGCATCTCCTCGCCCGCGCCCTTCTCACGCTCCCAGAACACACGCGCACGCGCCGCGAGGACGGCGTCGCGGTGCACGGCGGCAGACGCGTAGCGCAGGAGGTGCGTGCGCGCGAGGGCGGCGTCGAGCGTCTGCGCGGTGAGGCGCGCGGGCGGGGGGCGCGCGGTGGGCGGCGCGAGGTGCAGCGCGAGGGGGAGGAAGAGGAAGAGCGCGTGGCGCGCGGTAAACAGCATGTCGTGCCACTGCACGCGGGGTCAGCGGGGCGAGGAGAGGAGAGATGCGATGGGGCGCACCATGGTCAAGGGTGCGTCGCGGGTGTTGGGCCGCGGGATGGCGATGGGCACGGTGTACGCCCAGTACGCGTCCGCGAGGGCAGCGACCACGAGCACGGCGACGCCGCTGCCGCGCCAGCGCTCGCGCAGGCTACCGCTGACGGTGACGAGCCCGAGGATGAGCGCGCGGGCGGTGTAGGAAAGGAGGAGCGAGGGGAGGAAGTGGAGGGCGTAGTCTGGGAGGCCCTTGCAGTACGTGCACGTCTGCACTGTCTGCTGTCCGAATCTGCGCAAGCTCATGAGCTTGGAGACAAGCCGGACGACAAAGTGGCGCACCTGACGAGCACTGTTCGTACCTCGAACGAGGCAAGACGTGCTAGTAGCGCATCGAAGTCTGGTGGGAGGGTGGTTTCGTTGAGTTTGACGAGGAGTGCGGCGTGGATGCGACTCTGTGGCGCGGAGAGCGGGAGGCCAAGGGAAGTGAAGAGGTTGGGTGGGCGCGCGAAGAGGAGGGTGTACGCCGTGTAGAGCGTGTGTAATGCCACGACTATTGTCAGCGGGCGTCGCAGAGGTGTCGTCAGTTTCTGCTGAGGGTGTTTCGGGGTGCGGCGTCGGCGCGAGGAAATGTATGTGAGCACGGGTGGGAGGAAAAGGGCAAGGAGAGTGGCAATCCACGGATCCAGCGCGTCAGAGAGGAGTGCCATCGGTCGTCGATGTTAGTGGCGAAGAAGAGTTGGAGGATACATGAGACGAAACGTTCTTTTGTGTCGGAAACAGACCGGCGACGACAAGGCAGCCAGGGACAAGGCCGTCAACGTCGGGCCAACAGCGAACAGATACTGTCGGTGGTTGAAGCAGTGTTCCAATGCGGTTCAATGGTCTAGTGGTTATGATTTCTGTCTTACATGCGCACACAGAAGGTCTCCGGTTCGACCCCGGATTGAACCATTTTACGCCCTTTTCAACCGTCAGTCGTCTTAAGTGAAGTTACTTTTGTCTCGCCACCGTACTATACGTCCGGAATGCTACTCGAGGTCTGTAGAGCCTGGCCAGCGCTGAAAGGTCACAGAGGGGGACGAGGGAGAGTAGCCCAGTGTACATGGCGATTGGAGTGTACTAGTGCCGTGATCAATCATCGGTGTTGCTCAAATGCTCTTCACCGACTACCAGTAGGCTTCCTGCATCCAGCGATGTGGTAGTAGCGATATGTTCGGTCTGCGACTGAGAGCAAACCACCAGTCTGCTGAGACCAATATATTAGCGAGCTTGAGAATAGGGGGATTCTTCGTCCAGAATCTCACCTTCGGCATCAGGGGAGACGATGCGACAGCCATACACAACTGTCTCCAGGCAAATCGGTGAACAATGACCAGCGTGGACTCACGAGAAGTCAGAGTACACGGGCCGGCGTTGAGAGGCGTAGTCGTTAGTTGTATACGTGTTTCCGCATGTGCCAGGCAATCCATTCGGGTCGGACTCGGTCTTCTAATGGATTGTTAGCATAAGCGCGTGAGGAGGGAAGTGAAAGCAATGCGCGGACGCACCAAGCCGGTGGTTCGCTTCATGTGCATCATGGGAATGGGGAGCGCGGGGAGACTCCCTAGAAGAGAGATGGTGAGAACAGAGAATAGTGCAAGATACACAGTGGTCGGACAATCATCTGGAGGCCCCGCTGCTTAATGGCTGCTCGACAAAACAATTCTCTCAACTCTGGGCTGCTTTATAGCTTCGACACCTTTCAATGCTCAGCATAAGCGTAAGTTCTACACGGGCGCGCGGAGAGCTTCGATGTGCTTGGTATTGTGGGCGATGGCGCACATTACTCATGGGCACAGAGCCCAGACGTTCGCATCCATTTCGTTGAGATCAGTGGAAAATTGGGCCTGAGAATTCATGGTCGTCTGCAGATCGAAGACGCGGGAGGCCATAGACACCGTGGACAATAGTCAGAAGACTATGTAGGTCCTAAAGACGGAAGAGTGTGCACCTACTGTAACCTTACTCCACTAGAGATCACTGCAGGACGTAGGGTTGTTGCGATGAAGGTTTCTGGACGGCGACGAAGAAGACACGCCGACAAAGCTGTGCAGCGCGGAAAAGAGCACCGGGCGTCACACCAAAGACCGAATACAATGCCGGTGTAATTGCGAGATCAGAAAGCAACATGCGCTCAAGGAGCTCATAGCGCCCATCCTTTGAGTAAGGGTAGAGTGGGCCTGAGGATTTCAACTGCGTTATACAGCACGAGTGTAACTTGAGGAAAACAAAAGATCCGGATTCCAGAGATCGATGCGCAGTGATCAGGGAGAGGACATTCCTTGAAGAGCAGAAGTGCGGAATTGTATCCTATGGGCGGAAGTGCTGAGAGAGGCTTAGCATGGGTCAGAAGCAGGCAAAACAGCACGCCAGCATGGCAACATCGGAATATACAGTGCCTCTTCGACTGTTATGTATCGCATTTTTCTACGAACGATTACGACTTCAGAGGAAGTTCCATCAAGTGAAGCTCCAAATGATGTCAATGGAGCCCACGCCCAGCGGAGCGAAGAACTCAAAGAGCGCAATAGAGAAATCTATATCACAAAACGATCAACATGTAGTTCGAATACTGACCACTGGCATGACTCTGTTACGCGTACCCAAACTTGAATAACTGCACTCAGGGCACTCGTCGACGACCTGGGCGGTGGTGGTCTTCCCGTAGGCAGTGATCGTGACTGTCTGCAATAAAAGACGACGATTTGAGTAAGTCTTTAACACTGACCCACTGCGAACTCGGAAAGACGAACCTTAAAACAGCTGGCGCCGCCATTGTAGTACGGGACAGCGATGGCGGTGACAAAGTCGGTGGCCTTGCTCACAACACCGCAGGTTCCATTGCCGACATTGTAGAAACTCGCCTGGAAATTCATCAATCCACCTTCTCGAATAGAACGGAAGTCAGCTCTAGCGCACCGTTCCGGTAGTTCTCTTCGCAACTTCAGTGTGCATGGCCAACGCATGGACGGTCCCAACAAGAAATATGGTCAGGAAAGAAACGAGGGAAGAACGCATCGTGAAGGAACAAAGTCAGAGAAGGGGTATGCAGTCAATATGGCTTGAAACCTGACGAGGCTCCAGGTCCGCAGAGCAAGGGAGGTTGTCACCTCTCTTTATACCTTCGAGCCCTGGCACAGGAGCCGCTGGCGCCACTTCCGCATGGGCTGCAGTCTTGGTTCTAGCGGCATAGACTGTGGTTCCATGCCGGCGCAGGGGCAAGATATTAGCGCTAGCTAGCGTCTCTAGGGGACATTGATCATTCTGATATACCATGCAAATCAGAAATCAAGAGACATTGCTCCGATGCTGAAACACAAGCACCACAGGGGATGCGAGAGTCAGCAAAATCAGTCAGGGTCTGCCTTGACACTCGTAAGCTGCAATCAATGGCAAATCCGAATTTCTGGACCCTGATCAGCGTCATTACAGCTGCCATGAGCCCTCTTTCAAGATCCTTTGAGAAGAACAGATTCTGACACTTACAAGCCTTTCATCCCGATCCAGCGAGCAAGATCATCCCCACATAGACTGCAAATACGCGCTGTCGAGTCGTCGCCTATCAATCGCGGCCAGCTGTTGCACGAGCACAAAAGGAGAGCCGTCAGGACTACGTGAAAGAACGTGGATGCAGCGCGCTCACGGTTCAGACAAAGATCTGCCCGGTGTGTCGTCCTGAGGACAGGCGACAAGTTGTGTATCTCACAGATACTAGTCCATGTTGGCACACCTCTGAATCTTCGAAAAGCGCCCCAACGAACCTTTGTTCGGGATGTCAGTCAGAGCCCACAAAGGAATGCAGACCGCTCACAAATGTCTGGGAGACTGTCTCTGGACAGTCTGCAGACGAACGAAGTTGCGCTAATCGTGCAGCGCCGTCTTAGTCGGGGTGGGTCAAGGGTAGGTGCATTTGTTGTGTGAGCACGGGGTGAAGTGATTGGGAAAGCACCCAGATTCTTGTTCTGAGACTGAAGATGATAAGTAGGACGAGCTCCCCACAGCACAAGCTTTGCAGTCACGGTGCAGTCGAGTTGGTAGCAGATCGTAGAGTGCATGTCGGGCATCTCGGGAGTGCGTATCTGCTTGTGTAAGCTCTGCCGGTGATAAACGGGTGAAGGGTTCCTGACTCGGAAGACCTCGGAATCGAAGAAAACCACGATTTGTCACGCCACGTGAAGCCTGTTACGCGTCGACTGTCACGCACCATCGACAACGCACGTACGCGACTTGGACGCGACACGTACATGCGACGATACTCACCAATTTGAACACAGGCAGATTGCAATAGAAAGCGCATGCATTGACTGAGCCGCGGTATCAGCGTGCACTTAGGTGAAAAATCGGTCAGGGATAGCTCAGAATGCTCAAGAAGCGAACAACCCCCGCGGGAATCAAAGTGGTTGGAGACAACAAAATCCACTCGATTTGAAGAGAGCCCAATAAAGCTGGCTAGACAAATCTGAAACACGCAGGCGACTTGTACTAGCGATGCCGAGCATCCCCAGCGCCCTCAGACGAAGGTCCAGGTGATGTCGACGACGCCCGCATCAAGCGGAGCAAAGAACTCGAAGAGACCGGTGGAGAAGTCTGCATCGCGAAACAGTCAATACTTACAATACTCGAACACGGAGCGGGAGTTTGAAACACATACCCATGCTTCCGGTACCACACTCGGGGCACTCGTCGACAACCGTGGCGTTGGTGGTCTTCCCGTTCGCCGTGATCGTCACCGTCTGAAATGGCCGCAAGGTAAACTCAGTAAGTTTGTGACATGCAGTAAATCTGGATGAACGAACCTTGAAGCAGTTGATGCCGCCGTCGTAGTACGGGAGAGAGATAGCGGTGACGAAGTCAGAGGGCTCGCTAACGACGCCGCAGGCTCCGAGGCCGACATCGTAGAAGGTAGCCTGGAGAAGATCGATGTAACTGCCTCAGGCAAAAAAGGGAAGCGAGTCAACGTACAGTGCCGGTGGTCCTTTTCATGATCTCGGCAGGGATGGCCAGCGCGGAGAAGGCCCCGGTGAGAGAGACGGTGAGGAAAGCAGCGAAGGAAGAACGCATTGTAAACGATATGATTGATGAGGGGAGGTGTTCGCGGTCGATGTTGCTTGAGGTCGAAAGAGGCTCTAAGTCTGTAGAAAAAGCACGCTGTTGGCCTCCTCTTTATACCCTCGAGCCATAGGCCTTGAGTCCCTCGTACCACAACGCCACCTGCTCTGAGTCCTGCACCTAACCGTAAGGACAGCGGTCCCATTTCGCCGCAGCGGACAAAATCCTGGCGCCAACCAGCCATCTCCAGGGGGTGCAGATCATTCTGATATGCCTTGGGAATCATGGGCTCTTTCCCCGGATCTGAAATACAAGGATGGAGGCGAAAGCAAGGCCCAGTGACCTACCTCGGCCCTGATGGGCCAGTGCGAATGAATAGCCAATTTGCTTTCAATTTCGGGATGCCTGCGCAACGTCAGTGCAGCTGTCACGGAGCCACTTCAAAGACCCACCGAGAAGAACGGATTGGGGTCCGCCCGAAGCTCTCATCACGGTGTGACGAAAGTCTTCGGTCGGGAATCTTGTTCTCCGGTCCTTAGACAAATGATCGACACAGGATCGACACAGGACCAACACAGCTCGTCGACGATTTCCGTAACAGCTAAATATACGGGCACATGAATGCTGGGGATGTGGACCATGTCGCCGATGATTCGATTTACCTTGTAATGCGAAAGCAAGCAGCGGGGGGGATAACAATGTACACCCTCCGTGTCGGCAGGCGGCGAAAGACAGGGATTTGTGAAATTCAAACGGGGGGGATTGTATATGCCGTATGATATGCGCGTGTTGACTTCAAAGTGACCTGAGAAAATCGTGGATACAGGGATTCGCCGACCAGGGGGGACCACGAAGCCGTCCGA